TCCCTGAATGATCAATGGCGACCCCGAAATCCCTTTTAACCAAATTTTGACTGGGAAACTCAAGATCAAAGAGACTCGACTTTTGTGGTGTCGGCCATGGAAAAGAATGAGGGTTTATATGAGATTGAATCAAACCAGTAAAACCCTGGGCAAGCCTGTCCGCTAAGTCTTGCCCATGCCGCTGAACCTCCTCCCATGCTTCGAAAGATCTCTCTACAGACATCTTGTGAAGAACTCAAATCCTCCTACGAAGTTAACAATATATTTCCATCTAATTAACTAGTAAGAACAGGATTGTTCAAAACAATCAAACCAAGTATGAATATTTTGACGGAAATATCGAAGCTCACTGCTGTATAAATCGAGCTCCAACCCAAAAACACTTTGTATCAGCTGAAAGTAGTTGCAGAGGCAATAGTAGGAAAGAAACCAAGACTATGGTTTAAATTTAGAAACTCGTAAATATAAAATCGAGTGTTTATATATACATATATATATATATATAAATAGGGTAAGCAACTTGAGTTTCAGCTCAAAAAGGCAGAGCTTATTCACAACTTCAATTCTTTTCAAGCCCAAAAGATTGACCTTAGAGCTCAGACTACCCAGAAACCGTAGAATCACAGTCCAATCAAACAAGTAAAAACCTTAAACTTTTCCAAAGCTCAATATTAGGGTTTGATATAGTTACGTTAAAAATAATAAAATTCTCGGCTTTTTAAGTAAAGACCTTAAAAACATGAAACTAAAGCTTAATATTGATTCCAACAGAAAAAGCTCTTAGTGAAAAATAAAATCCAGAGTAAGAACGTTGCAACAAAGCATATGGAAATAGGGCTTCTTTATTTAACAACCTAAACCAAAAATTTTAAAACCAAAAAAATAAAAAGAAAACCAGAGATTTTTTGTGTTATAACCCGGAGAGAGAAGATAGAGGGTTGAGCACAGAGGAAACGAGTAGAAAACCGCGGAGATTAGAGGGAGAAAGTGGGTGCGTAATGCGCACATGGATTGATTTGCCGCCACGTAGATGGTCATAGTTTTGTGGCGATTGTGGATAGAGATTTTATTGGAGGCAGCTTTTCAGGTTACGGGGGTTGTGAACAGCGTTATGGTCACAGCCAATCAGAGACGTCGAAGCTCATCTGCCATTATTTTAATTAAAATTTAATAAATCTATTATTACTAAATTTAATGTGATTATTCAAATCTTATCAATAAATTATTTTATTAAATTAAATATTATAAATTTATAAAATAATAAATTCTATAATTTTATGTTTCTTTAAAAATTTTAATTAATTTATTGATGAATACAGTTTAATTAATAAATTATTTTGTTAATTCAAGTATTATAAATATATTTATAAAATAATTATAAAATTATAAATAAAAAAAAAATTGACTAATATACAGAAATTTTAGGCCAGGTAAAGTCAATTCAACCCATCACTTTTCCCCATCTCTCTTTTCGATTATGTCTCTTCCAAATTTGGATAATAATATCCGCATTTTTGGTAATTAATAACCACTTTTTTTTTTTGCTGGAAATAATTTACATTCTATTTTTATATAAGAATTTCATTATTATTATTATTATTTTGTACATATTATCATTTTTATTTTAAAAATAATTACTCTAAAAAATTTTCCTATATATTTTTGAATAAAATATTATAATATTAATAAATTCATAAATTTGGCAGTTTAATAAATGAAGACTTTGATTTTCTCAGTTATTTAAAATTTAGAAATTTGAATTATTCTGTATTATTAAACACTGGATTTAGTTTTTGAATGTTTTAAAAATAAAAAAATAATAATATTTTTTTTTCTTTAATAACAGGGAGTCCGTATCCCGTGTAAAACAGGGTACGGTATCCTGTTCCCTGTGTTCTCCTTTCAAACCCAAAACCCACCTTAAAAAAAAAAAAAAAGAGAGAGAGAACTTTCAAGTGAAGCTCCTTCGATGGAGGGAGACGTACGATACCCTAGAATTGAGCTCGAAGACATCAAACCTAAGTTTATCCATCCCTCGGTAGTTCTCCTCTCTCTTTCTCTCTTTTTCTGTTCCTGTTCTTTCTAAATTATACCTGATCGTTTACTTGTTATCGTCGGTTTGGTAGTCGCGAAAGCAATAGAAAGTGATAACTTCTAATCATGTGTTTTTAACATGTTTCCCACTGTTTTCCAGAAAGTGCAAAGCAGTAAATGGAGAAGTTGCGTTTGACTTTAGGGTCTTATGTATGTTCTGTTACAGAATAAATGAAAAGGAACTAGAAGTTCCACGGGTTGTTAAACAATTAATAAAAGAATGAAAATGTAACATTTAAACCTTTCTGCTTCATGTAAAAAGCTAAGAAATTTGTTTGGTGAATTTATGTTGGCTATCTCAGTTTTTTTTTTCTTTTCTTCATTTTGGGTTATACTCCTTGCAGAGGATAGTCTATACAAATGGATACTTCATGAGTAGATGAGTGAAATTTCTGGAGAATCTTTGAATACAAACTTTCAAGAAATTTATGGGATATAAAGAACATGTATCTGATTTCTAGTATATGCTATTAGGAATTATATGACTTCAGGAAGAGCTTTGGAGTAATTATAAGTCTGATTATAGGTCTTCAAATTTGTCTCTAGGATGAATACAGAACTGATCCATTTTGATGGCCTTGGGGTGCAACGGTGGCCCTAAAGTATCATATTCCGTTTGGTCCTTGAAGCTCTCAACACAAGGGAAAGCTTCCCTAGAACCTAAAAAACCTCCTTGCGTTCTACGTTCTAGATCTTGGAGATTCATGTTGAGGTTTTGCCGACCAAATGCAAGGGGTCAATCCTTGTCAAAAAATTTGATGATGGTTTTGAAAGGGCTATATTTCTTTTTTAGTTGTGGCCCCCCCCCCCCGATTATTCAATGATAATTAGATGTCTTAACTTGGAGAATTTATTTGTAGCTGATATTCTCCTTGATTTGAACCATGCACAACTGCCTGAACTGTCATGGTAATTTAGGTCTAACCACACAAATCTTTAATATTTAATATACTGAAACCAAGTTTAAACAGATCATTTTAGGCTTTGAATCATATTCCTTGACTTTCTACTAGCAGTCATGTAGGCTTTAGTTCATCTTGTTTGAGTTTTTAGATTAGATCGTCAGTTTTTGGCTGTGTTTGTGCCTGCTAAGTTGTGTCTTCACATAAGTGTGATGGAGCAACTATGTGGTTTTCAGTTATACCTATATGAAAGATTCCCCCTGACATACTAACAGAGAATGAAAAGACACGACTATAGAAGAATTATAATACTAAGAAATATTGTCAAAATAATTATCTAATTCTGTGAGCGAGATGCAATAGCGATATAATCTCCATTTTATACCTATAGGAAAGATTCTCATGTCACACTAATGGAGAATGAGAAGACACTAAAATGGAAGATTTACGACATTTGGAAATATTGTAAGAATAATTATCCAACTTTGGTATTTTTTTTTAGTTATATACTGTTAGGAATATTTTGCTTATTTAGGAAATATTAGTTTTAGGAGATCAAGAGTTATTTCCGAAATTTATTTGGCTCCACTATACATTTTATGAATTCCTGTTATGGTAGGCATTTTCTTTTCATACTTATTGTGTATACAAAGAGCACCTCTAAGATGGTTATCGACATAAACTAATGATTATTATTTAATTGACTTGAGAATTTTAGATTAATTTTTCAGATCCAAGGTCTTCACGTTCGTTTGTTATTTTCTCCTATTTGCTCTTCACTCCTTGACATCGTTCATTGCACATTTTTAGCATTTAATGTTTCCTGTTATTAGACTTGGCTTATACCTGCTTGATAAGAGAATGATTTGAGTTCCTAAATGGCAGGCTCCTGAAGAAGTGGTGGAAGACACAGAAAATAATAACCTTGTACAAAGGGATGGCATCATGCAAGAGCAGAAGTTGCCATTGGAAAGCAAAACACCTCGAAGTAAAGGATTCAATGATGCACAAGTTGTTTCAGCTGCTCACCGTCAGAACAATGGTAAGTTATTTTACTATGATACACCAGTTTCTGAAGAAACTGGGGTCTGGATACCTGTTTCTGTCCCGGCATTGGAAACAACTGAATCTGAAAAGCAGAGTAGTGGAATCTCTGACAATGGAGGATGTTTTCCTGATCGAGACTTGGCTTGGGATTGGTTTTCTGGAGAACATAAGGAGCTGACCATGTGGGATGTGTTCAGTGAGATGTTAGTTGCTGCTAGGGAAAAAGTGAGTACTATTTCGTCAAGTGATGCTCGTCGATGTAGAGTTTCCTGGTTATCAAATCATGTTCTTGACCAAGCTTGGAAAGAGATGGCTGAAACTCTTTCGGAAGCTAACCTTGGTAACATTAGGGAAATTCTGGAAGCAGAACCACCAAAATGGTTATCAGACAGTGGAGCTTCTGCTTGCATGCTATGTAATTTGAGATTTCATCCTATTTTACGTTCCAGGCATCACTGCCGTTTTTGTGGAGGGATATTCTGCAATGGATGCTCAAAAGGAAGGAGTTTATTGCCTACAAAGTTCCGGACTGGCAATCCACAACGTGTTTGTGATGTTTGCTGTGTGAGGCTTGAACCTGTTCAGTCATTCTTAATGAACCAAGTCAGTCGTGCTGCTCAGATGCCGACCCATGATTTGACAGATCTCAGTACTTTGAGATCATGGCTTAATTTTCCATGGGGACAATCCATGGAATATGAGATTTATAAGGCTGCAAACACTATTTCCAGTTACCATAAGGTAATAAATCACTTCCTAATATATCCTTTTAAGATTAACCTTATTGATTCCCTTAATTCAGATAACCCATTAAATTGCCTATACTAAAAAAAAAAAAACATTATATGTTAAAAAAAATCAAAGGGCGTTATTATTTTTCATAAGCTTGTATTTTGTTACTTGAAAGTATATAGTTTAGTTCATTCTTTGGTGATGACCACCTTCTCTTTTTCCTTGGTTGAATGAATAGGTAAGAATAGATGGTTGGTGAAGTTTCTCGATCATTCACTGACTGTTTATTTGATTCCCAAATTCTTATATGATTCATATCAAACTATTTTATCATTTCTCAGGTTGGCTCTTTGAGGCCTGAAAAGTCCATACCAGATGCTATCTTAAGACAAGCAAAAGGCCTTGCAATTCTTACTGTTGCAAAGGTTGGAGTCATGGTGACCTATAATGTTGGGACAGGACTTGTTGTTGCCCGAAAAGAAGATGGATCATGGTCTCCACCATCTGCCATCTCTACCTTTGGCATTGGCTGGGGAGCACAGGTAGAGTTACTTTATTCATGGAAAGTATGCTTCTTAGCTTGTTAGACAGTTGAAGAACATGTTTCCTTAAATTTTTTTTGATTGATAGCTTATTTTACTTTTTGTTTTTCGGTTCACTTTCTGAGGAAAGGAGCAATAAGTCTTTTATACTTCCTGGTTTTATTATGGAGTGTTCTTTTGCAAAATTCCTAAGTTTTCAGAAATATGTGCTGTGGGTTTTTCCATGTGTGTATGACATGAGTGATTAGCATAAAGAGGGGCCTTGTATGATTGTCCGTGAGCACCTACCATCCCAACCTTTTTTCTTAGTGGATATTATGATTTTCATCTTATACTTGCTCTTGATTTAAAAATGCTATTCTTGAAAGCCACCTAAAAGTTTTTGGCTGAAAGAAATTTCTTTGGTTCAGGGAAACTGGTTTGAGCAATCCTGAGGGAAATGTTTTTTAAAACAAAATTGTTCTAACTGGCATGTAATGACTGATATGTATATCCAAGAGGTGCACTTTTTTAACTACTATAATTTTACCAGGCTGGAGGTGAATTCACTGACTTTATAATTGTGCTGAGGAGTGACAGTGCAATTAAAACATTTAGTGGGAATGTCCATTTGTCTGTTGGAGCTGGTTTGAGTGCAGCTGCTGGCATTATTGGACGAGCTGCTGAAGCTGATATACGAGCTGGTGATGGTGGTTATGCCGCATGCTATACATACAGTTGCAGTAAAGGTAAGATTCTTCTTCATCCCATTTGTCATGATTATTTAACATCTTAAAACAAATTTTATTGTATTGAGTTTACCTCAAAAAAAAAAAAAGAAAAGATTATAGTGTATTAGGATTAAACAACCTCTGTTTATCCATCAATCTGAACTTCCCAGCAATGGGACTTCCAGTGACAGTCTCGTTTATTTACTCAAACTTTTTTGGCCTTCTGTTTTCCCTTAAAAAGAACAAAAAAGAACTGCTAGAACTATAGAAGATAGGTTTAACACTCTGCTATTAGGATGTTTCTGCATGCTTACTCAGACCGACATCACAAAGACACAGAAGACACAGAAATAGTAAAACAGTGTTGTTATTTATGGCTTACTGAAGTATATGCAGACTAATAGAGAAATATATTCCATAAGTGGAAGTAGCACTTATGAAAATAACGTGGGAGAAGTTGGTTGTGAGAATTTCATATTGCACGTTATATGCTCTTTAGTGGCGCTAGTAGAAAATGGATGGTTCTAAAATATAAAGAATGAAATGGTAGAAAGCTAGCGAAATATTAGATATTTAAGCTGTGAATTTATATATATATATTGACAGGCTCAAGAAATAAACTTTTGAGATATGACAAGCTAGAGAAAGAGTCCTTGACCATGTGCAGCATTCATCCTTGAGCCTGTCTACGATATGTAGATGTTTTGTTTTAACTTTTCTTTTCCATCACCTTGGGACCCTGGTCCCTGATAGGCAGAGCACATAGCCAATATATCTCATTTTATATCTTTATTGCTTATTTGTGTGTGTGTGTGTGTGTGTGTGTATATACTGCAGGTGCTTTTGTTGGGTTCTCACTTGAGGGAAGTATAGTCGCTACGAGGAAACAAGAAAATTTCAGGTTCTATGGTAGTCTGTCTATAGACGCATCAGATATCCTTCTTGGGTCGTTGCCGCAGCCTCCTGCTGGCTCCATTCTGTATCAAGCCCTTTCAAATCTATATAAAAAGTTTGAGAACTGACTGGTGCACATCTCCCAAGCAAGCATATTAGCAGGGAAGTGGCTCAAACCCATGTGTACATTCTATCAACAGGTCTTCGCCTTTACAAAATTTTATCCCTTTCTTCTACCAACTAAAGCAATTGGCTTCTGGAGCAAGGTATAATTTGATTGAAAATGCTGTTGCCGACTGTACATAACGTAGGGTATATGGTTTAAACATCTTAAAATTCTCCATTGAATTGCAGAATGCTATAGTGATCACTCACCTCAATTATACTTCATTGTATTATGATTTGGGTGTCTCTGCTGCTCTGCCTCTTGAGCGAAAGAAACCTAATTTAAATATTTTGACCAATACTTGCTCCTCAAATATGTAAATAGATATATGTGCGGGTGTGTATATGTATGTGTAAATTTTGAGGGGCATGTAATTGTCAATGGCCGGTAATTCGCAAATACATGTGGTGGTGGAATTTTATGAACATGTTAACCTATCGGTTTTATGATTTTATGATAAAAAAATAAAAAATAAATTCTATGAATTTTATGATTTCTCGGCTAGGGATCACTTTACTTGCCCACTTGGTAATAGTGAGTGATGATGAATAGGGAATTTTGTGTTTAAGATAGGGATTTATTTATATGATACACCTGTATGCATAATTATCAATACCAGTATAGCAATAAAATATATATATATATATGTATAATTATTACAAATTGTTCTAGTATTTAGAATTATTTTTACCATTTTAAAGGTTTAACTCAATTTTGGCATATATTTATTAAATATGAATGTTAATCTAAATCTTCGTCATTTAGTTCTTAAATTGTTAAAGAACATGTAAAAGTACATATTAAATTAATAATTTATGTTATTACTTTAAAAATATTCATCAGTTCAAAGAAGTCAATAATAAACTTCTCTACGTTTAACTGTTTAAAAGATTTATGTCAAATGCGTGTGGGCTTTTCTTCTTTTCAACAAAAACTGCGAATTACATAAAATTATGAAACAAACAAAAAATCTGAACATGACATGTTTTTAGCCACATGCTCATTTCATGATTCATAATAATTGGGCTGGGTGAGCAACTTAAGACCGAATAATTGATAACAGGAGTCTGAATTGATGGTTGAACTAACTGCGACAAAGGGATAAGATATGTAGAGCCTAATTGGGTTTGACCAGAGCATGTTAGTGGCCAACGATAAAACGAGATGCGCAAAATGGTCGTCAAATAGATCCCTCGTAATCATCACAACAAAAGCCGAAGACTAAACACAACAAATATAAAAATAAGCCACCATTTCGGGCTTGGTCAAAAAAGATTATCAAAGTAGACTCCAGTAGCTAATAATAATGTAACAACAAAGACTGGTCCATGCTCACTGTGCTCTGTCTATAAAAGGTTTGTCTTACAACATGTGTGAAAGAATGTATAGATACCAACTGCACATGGTTTGGCCGCTCAATTGGTCATTGGACCAATATTAAAGGCATCCAATCATTACAGGTACTTCTCATCTTTCGAGGAAACCAAGTTTTGAAACAAAATTACTAAAAGAAATTAAGCGCTAATAACTATATTTAATTTGGAACAAAGTAACATACAAATGAAGAAATTACAAGAAAATCAAACAAGATAGGAACTGCTCCCGCTCACCTTGATCCCCTTATACTCTTTTTCTTTTGTTAATTTTCTGAGAGCACTAGTAAGGAACCAAAGTTCATTGAAAGAGACCACTGAACTATAACTATGGACAATCCATTATCTGCAGCAGGATACAGTTCACGTATAAAGAAACTGCCGATTTTTATCAAAATTATTGAACATAAATTACCAGCTCACCTGGTCCTTGAACTTCCAAGAGTAAGCTCTAGATCATCGGACCCACACTCCTCATGAATCCTCTCTCCTTCCCATGGCTTAACTAGGCCAGTTGTGTTGTTCCCAAATGCAAACTCTTCTGGGATCACTTCACCCATGGGAACATCAGCAGTTTGATCACAGCCTGCTGGCATGGCAGGGGAGCATGTTCCACTTTGCCCTGGAGTCCACATACGAGATCCACCACTAGGTAGGCCAAATGGCTTGGACGAGACAAGGCTGAATGTGGGGGAAGTTGGGCCAGCTTGAGGGAGACGAATTCCAGCAAACCATTCAGGATCAGGAATAATCTGACGGCCAGGACTTGGTGGAGTAGAAGAATGCAAAAAGGAATGATGTTGCCCACTCCATCCTGGGCGTGCAGATTGGTCCTCCCAGTCAGTTTTGATTCTAGGTGTTCGAGCCGTAGGGGAACTCAATGGAGGAGTAACAGGAGCACTGATTGAACCACCATGGATGTAGAGATGGGGAAGCTTGGCAGAAGATGCTGATGATGATGCAGATGAGAGGTTTTTCAGCCATGGGATCAGAGAATGACCATCACCATTAGGATTAGCAGCATAGGAGGATGATGCAGGACTAGGAAAGGAAGAGGAAGCTGGGCTTGGGTTATAGGAAGCACAAGGACTAGGATGATACGACGAACATGGGCTTGCTGTTGCAGATCCAGCCACTATGTCCATTCGCTCCACCGGCTTGCATCCCTGCCCAAAAACAAAAATTGTATATGATTAGAAAGCAGAAGCATATACAAAACACTGAGATTTTGAGAATGACTTCACGTATCAGCCATATCTGCTGCCATGCTATCTCAACCGTTTATCATTTTTTTGAAAAATAAATTTCAATCTTTAATCATGATCACAATACTAGAAGCCACAGGATACCTTCCATTGTCATTATCTAAGGCTTCCCTTGGTTCCGTGATGCATAGTGTCTAACAGATATAAATAAACAATAGAAACTCACTTTATGGAGGGAGAAAAAAATTGACAAACCCAACTTCACATGAGCAGTTAACTAAGTTAAAACTCAGCTTGATTGGCTCAAAACCAGTGCTTGACATATTAATAACAAAATCACCTTCAGATCAAAATGTCTGATATAGTTATACAACAAGAGACAATCATGACAATAAATCAAGGAGAAGAGTTCACAATCCAATTCATCATAACCGTATCAACCTTGAAGGACTAAAATGCTATCCAAGCAAGTCAATAATCACGGAAAACTTCTGCAACATTTCTACAAGCTAGTATGCATAATCTTAAAGTTAAAAACTGATGTGAACATCAGTTCCTAATTTCATCATATTAAAGACAGATAGAGTGTCTTTCCCAAAAATCCCAACTTGAGGGAGTTCTAGTAGTAGTGGATTGAGATTCGAAAGAGTAACACACATATTAGAAGAATATGACTGCTATACGACTCATATACCAGTTGCTGCTATGCCAACGGCCATCCTGAATAATACGGGATGGGTAAGTCAAAAAAAATTGCGACCATGATTGTTACAGCTCAACTGTGGATCTAAATCATAACAACAAAACACAGTAACCATGCAACTGAATTTAATACTCATTTAAATGTTTGTTTCAGCTAGAACCACCATGATAATTAACAGATTCAACTTCCTATTAGATGTAGACAGATGAGCAATACAACTTTTTTTAACTTTCTAAGCTTTCAAAACCTACCGGTGATTTTATTGTCTGATTATTTTGATAATAGCCTAATGAGCTAAAATAACTTCTACCGATCATGACAGCCTCCCGTATAATCACCAATACACTGAACTTGAACCTCCCTGACTCAGCTAATGATGCTTCTCTTGACATTAACACACATCATTATATTATCCTATTTCAAACCTTTGAATTCTGTGTCCTAAGTTGCAATCAAATATACTCAGATTCAGTCAAATCAATTGATTAACATTTCTTATGTACCCAACTAGTAACTCAAAGCAGGGATGTAGCTTGTTGATCTATTTCAGAAACAATTACTTGAATAAATTTGACCTTTTTTATTGACAAACTACCTATTAAAACATAAAACTAATAAACTTGCAAGTAATGGAAGAGTGTTTTATAAGTCAGGCTGGTTTATCACTTCAAGTACCTCCTTGGAGCATGATATTATAGCCACAAAATCATTACCCAGCATGGAGTAATATCTTAAGCCAATCCTCCAACAAATGGGCTATGGAACACTAATATACAAAGGCCCCCCCTAAGAATACGGAACAATAGTGAGATGAGTAATAAACTAAAAGGATGCAGAGCTGGAGGTGCGGAAACTACAATCAATTTCTTTTTTTTCTTTTTTTTTTCTTTTTCTTTCTTGCAAATGCACAAGTCGTAGAATGACTAAAAATTTATTTCTGAGCTCCAGAAGTTCAATTAATTCGGTTACAAAGAAGAAGATAATCTTATTCAAGCGAGAATCGAAGTTCATAGGATATCTATTGGGTTCACAAAGCTAGAGACAGTTTAATAATTCACTTATTTTTAATTGATATCTAATGGGTTCACAAAGCCAGGGACAGTTTAATAATTCACTTATTTTTAATAGAATAAACATAATAAGTCGACAATTAAATACCTCACAATGTGAGTTTAGAAGAGAAGGCAGGGTTTGTAAAACCAGTATTCATTCATATGTTATCATATTTCCAATAATCAGGCAAAAATTCATGAACTTTGCTAGTTAACTCAAATTTATGTCAATCCGCCATTTTAAAAAATTTATGTCCATCTATTAATAAAATGGAATACCGAAAAAAATAAAAATAGATAAATATATACCGGTTAAACAAAATAATTTTTCTGTCCTGAAAATCCAAAACACTATGCTGTTCATTATTGAACTGCAATCAGAGAAAATCAGAAGTTGTTCATCATAAAAAAGGAAAGATGCCTTCAAAGTGAAAAACTGAGCTGTCCACAAAAAGGGTTGCTCTTTATGTTTTTCAATAAACAGTCCAGACTGCAGCGACACTTAAAAAAGCAGAAGACTTTGCACGTACCAAACTACCCCTCTCTTTCCCAATAATTACTATCTAAAAGAAGCATCAGATAAAGCAATTGGCGAGCTGACGAAAGGCATTTCCGTCTCCATCGAGATCTATGCCATTTCTTGTCCTTAAGACCACCAGTCATGACTGCTGAGAGGAAGAAAGAATCCTGAGTGCTATCACGCGTTCAAAGAAAGGAAAAATAAATAAATAGACAGCAATTCTGACCAGATCTAGAGAAAAGGTAGCAAAAGAATCCAAACCAAACTGATGATCATAACAAATGACAAACAAGCCGTAAAATCCGCTGCTAACATGCGCCGCGTACCAGTAGTGCATGTTAGCACCTCAGCGACAGATCGGAATCGGATCACTTGTTTTGTTCTGTTGCTAAAATGAATAGGTACACATTAGCAGAAAGCTAGCGTGCATATCTAGCGTACGCCGCGGCGCACGCTAGCACATTTCTTAGAGAATTCCTACGTGATCAGCAACAGATCCATCCCTATACTAGAGACGTGATGCAGATTGCAGAGAACAGGACGCAGTAGCCAATAACATTCATCATCGCTAACATGCGCCACAAATATCAAAAAAGGTTGGCATAACATCGTTTCTGGACAGCAGAATCATGAGCTTCCAGAAATTTAACCCCGAAAGAGTTGAAAAATGAAAATCCATTTGCTTTGAAAGAGCCAAGAAAGCATTAACCAAACAGGTCCTTGCAATTGACCAGAATCATAAACACCAGCAACCGATACATTTGAGCGATCCGAACAAGCAGAAATGAACACCACTAGAAAAACCTAACGGACCGATTTGACAGCAGCTTCGTTTTGCTTTCAAAAAGCGGGAACTCAAAAGCTACTGAGCTAGCGACAGAGACTGCTGAATATATAACATAACTACGAATATATGTACATATATATAGACGAACCTTGCGGTAGGTAGTGCCGTCGGGCTCCACGGTCCAGCCGGCCTCGTTGCAGAGGGCTTTGAGGACCTCGTTGTTGTCGCAGTGCTTGGGAAGCTTATAGTTTCCGTACATCCTCAGGCCAGCAAAAATTTTGGCCGCTATCGCTCTTCGTCTCCTCTCCCTCCTCTTGTTGTTCTCTCTCTCCTTCCATGTTGGCAGCCTCGTCCCGGATGTCATCTCCCTTTTCTCTCTGTCTAACCAATTTTCCCTCTTATAAGATCTCTTTCAACAACTAACAGTTTAATCTCCGAGCAATTCTATCAACTAAGCCATACCAAATTTTGCAATCAGATTAGTCAACTCAAAACTCACTTGAAAACCACAGTATAATCTAGACTAAGCAGAAACTGCCTTGAACAACCTGCAAATGAAAAGGCAAAAAATGAGCAAAAATTTTTCAGGAAAAAATATTGCTTCTGCAGGTGTGAGCTGGTGAATATCTGTCAAAACGGTAACGTATGCTCAGAAGCAAAGGAGACTGGAGGAAAAATCAAAAGATACAAACCGGATCGAGAAGAACGTACAAAACCGTGATCTGATCTTACCTAGGAGAATGAGAGAAGGGAATAGCCTAGAGAGAGCCTGGGAAACATGGTGGTGATCGTAAAACCGCTCGGGAAACCAGGAGTGGTTTTCTTGTGTAGGTGAAAGTCTGGAAGAAGAAAAGGTTGCGGAAGCATGTATGGGACTACTAGCGGGTCTTAGTTGGGAGGATGATCTAGGAGAGTCTCGCTAGAAATACATTGGCCCAAGCTGCAATTGCCCACGATTGTTCCTTGATTTACAAAGTTGCCACTGTTGGAGGACTACGTCATACGTAACCACAAAGGGTTGCTTTCACATGGTCAAATTTTGCTTTTTATGCATAAAGCTTACTACTTTTTTTTAATATAAATTTTTTACTCCAATTATAAAAAAAAAAAAAAAAAAATTGATAGTAATTTTAACTTTTAATTAATTAAATTTACTTAAAAAATTGTAAATTTATTTTTACGGGCTTTTTTACAGTATTTAAATTTTTAATCTATGCAAAAATAAATAAATAAATAAATGTAAGGTGGAAGACTGTGCTTAATTTCTAAAATATCAAAAATGAAACTGTGACTTAATTTTTTGCGTACTAAGATATTTAATTAGCATGCAATGAATTTTATTCATAAAATTGATAATTGAATTATAGCGAAGGAAATTACAAGTAATAATTTGTCATAAAATTTTGAAAATAAATTAAAATTTAAAATAAAGTTAGAAAGACATGTGTTGCATGAATGTCCGAGTGATATTTGGTCGAGTCAAAGTTCATTTTCAATTGAAAAAGTCATACTTTTTCCCACCACTTCAATTCCCTCCCCATTTAATCGATTTTTTCTTTAACTTCTATAATAATATGTTGAAAATGATGAGTAATTAATAAAATTATTATTATTCCAATATATGGTATTAAATTAATTTTAAAATTTATAAATAGGCATACATAACGAATAATGATAAATATCAAGTTCAAAGAGAGGGTAGTAATTACCCACAACTAATGTATTTATATAATAACATTAAATAAGATTAATGTTCAATTAATGACTTAATTAACAATCTAATATGAATAAAACTCCATCCATCTTCTTGCGCGGACAAAAGGTCGGTCATCATGCTTTCTAGTTTTATGGTCAAAAGTAGTTTGAACTTGCCAAGTAGGGCGCCCCCCCTCACCGCTGGCAGATCACGTGTCTACCACGTGGTTCACGTGACATTCACGTGACATTCCTCCTTTTACGTATTATTCTGTTGTTGTTGAAGAGAGAGGGGAGGGTGGTCGTTCACGTTTGCAATGATGGAAAATGCTAACAACTTCATAACCGATAACCAACAAATTCTTTTCTTCTCTCTTTTTCCTGATATGCAAAAAATATTATATGTATATATATATATATATATATTTGCAAATGATTTATTACTTTTCCTAAACAAATATAAAAGGAGTTCATGTTCACCAATACGTGAACACACTAAGATACATGTTTGTTTTATGTGCGTATATAAACTACTTCATGCTGTAAGTAAAGCTTTTCTTTTTCTCGTTCACTTCTCATTTTCATTTTTCCTTTAAATATCAAGAATGTGCTTCATACTAACTTTGGAAAAATAAGCAAATAAATTTTCTCTTCATAATGACAATATATCTAACCTAATTTAAAATCTACTTTGTCCTATGTCACTAATTCCTTACATCTTTGGCCGAATAATTAGATCCCGCAGCTCATGGAACTCCGATGTGCATGACAAGAAATCGCTACTACATACTCTTCTTTGGTAAAGCAAACTGCAAGTGGAGACAGAGTGAGATTATACTCCCAAAAAATTTTCGAGTTAACTGATCTATGATACACAACAATTTGGGGTGTTTCAGCTTTAAATAAATGTAATGATTTGATTAAGGAGACTGCATATGTAGATATTAGTGTGTATTATATTATATACTGACGGTGGCTGACATTTAATCCAACAGGAGCTTAAGACTTAACCCATTAGTATATTGACGGGGATATAGTAATCAAGTTGGGTTTTCGTCCTAACAAATTATTATAGTTTCAAATGAAAGAAATATTTTGTAACGACTAAATTCTTTGGTTCTTTTATCCTTCAAAAGAAAAGTATACTGCACCATCTCCAAGCATCAAGAACCCTAGTCAACCCATCAGCATAACATCTTCCTCAGAATCCAAATCCTACAACCTCCTCTTGCCTGTTATAGTTATAGCTTAATTCCCTAGAGTCCTAGGCATGATGCAGCTAAGAACTAAAACGAAAAAGGAAAGCTTACTAATTATATTAGAAACAACAGGACATCTGGGCATGTCATCACAAGTAGCCTTGTGTTGTAGTTTCACTCAAACGGATGACGTCCTTCAGCAATTTACTAACAGAAACCATTATTTCATCAGGAACTTCCAGCTCCTTAGGCACCAACCCTGAAGCATACAGAGTTATGATCCTCAGTACATCAGCCAAATTCAAATTATTTGTATCACCTTTCCATACACTCTGGTTTACGAACTTGCATGACTCTCTTAATGTGCATTTATTGCACACCTGTAGTGAGCAGAAACACGAGCAACATTAGAACATCACAATCAATTTTACTTTCAGAGTTGATCACCGTGAGATAAAGAAAGCAAGTATAAGGCTTACAGTATCTTCTTGAATTTCAAAAAACTTGCGCAGTCGTTTAGCAGAAAAAACAGTCTTTCTATCGAGGGAAGGGCAACCAAAGAGGGCCACCTTTTTAACCTCACTGCCTGACAACCATCTGTAAGTTGAAAATTAGAGATAATATTTAAGAAAGTTCCAAGATGGAAATATAACATTTTAAAGGCAAAGAAGCTGATCAATAATGCTAAACAAGAAACCAATTGATTCAATAGACGTTTATACAGAATATAACCATCAATATTTGCAGAAGCAATTCATGACAAGATGAATAAGCCAAGTTCACCATTCTATTCAGCAAGATAATAATGAAATCTTTTTGACAGATATGGACAATATTAAGTATGTATATCACTCACCCATATTCATAAATGTCCATGATTTGTACAGCAATCTTTTGTTACTAGTCCAAATATCTCAGTAATTGTTACGGTTCAATCTGATAGCAGTGATTCATTTACTAGAAAAGTCTACATGCAACTGTTTCACGGAAAGAAGCACAAGTCTCCAGCTGCACAACAAGCTCCTACTTACTTAAGATGCTCTCCTTGGTTCAAATATACTTCCAAATTATAAAGTGTAGAGTGCGGATTACATCAAAGTACTCAGGGTTTGTATTACATTTGGAAACATTTGCGAGAATAATTGTTAAACTATACGGCTGCTAGCAGCAACCTCTCGTATATATATATAGCCTTTTCCACCCGAATAAAACATCTGTTACTATTACCACCTATACTGAAAGCATCTCTATAGAGATCGTGCATCTCTCTCAACGAATTCTAACTATCACCATAAGAAGGCAAGGTCGCAAGTTGAATAAACTAGATTCCCTGTTGTTAGTCGATTTCATGCTCAACTGCCTGTGATACAATTCCAGATGCAAAGACTTTTTTTTTTAAATAAAAAGTGTGAACTGAATATTAACATAGGCACCAAGGGGGTGCCGCCAATGTACAATATTTACAAGTCAATTAAAGTACTAAAAAAGTTCTCTAGATCCTCCCTAAAATATGGAGGATGAACCCTAAACAAAAAAACCGAGTGTGGAACCATTATTAAGAATATCAAAACCATCAATATCTTCAACCCCATGGGTAAGCAGAATAATTTCCATTTGTTTCCTGCGATCACTAATGCAAGATTCTAACAGAAACTCTCATCGTCCATAATTTTCATCTCAAAATGCATAATTTTTTTTTTTGAAATAAAAATATGAAGTATCATTTTAATACGGTACCAAAAAAAAAAAGAGTACCACATATGTACATAGACTTTACAGAAGTGTTAGCATATCTATGACACTTCCAAAATCCCATAAGTTGAATAATGTCATCTACATAACTATATAAGTTGAATAATCTTGGCACGGCCTATATATTTTATCAGAAGCTTAAAGCATAACTATATAACTTTTATCTGGGTTTCATTGCAGCTGTTTAACATACATTAAATTTCAACTAAGATACAGAGATTTCCCAAGTTCATTTGAGAACTCTTACTCAAAATATTTTCTGCAATTTGTGTTTTACCATTTTCATCACAACTTATTTTATACTTACTGCATTTTTTCAACATCAGCTAAACAGCAATTATCAAACCCAATGAATAGACAAACCAGATACCGAAATCTCACTTTCCAATTTCTTGATGATCCTTGCCGAACTTCTCAATGGAAAACTTGATATACTCCCTTCCGTAGCTATTATCAAAACACCCACTATCAAACCTACTCCCAGGCAAAAAATTGGCTTTATTGAAGTACCCTTCTTTATAGAGAACCTTCAGAAACAACTCCATTTCCGGTTGAAGCTCCTTGAGAATCCTTCCCGCTTCCTCTCTCATCCTATTTCCCTGATTTTTTCTCCCCTTTCCAGCAAACAGCGAGAATAAGCTCTTGCTATCCTCCATTTTCTCTGATTTCTTTAACTGCTCTGGATTCGTCCGCGGCAAATTTTCTTTTCCCTCCGAAGAATCTGCTTCCTTCAGCTCCCTCAGTTCTCTCTCTAATTCAATTAACCTCTTGTTAAATTCGCGGTTTTCCCTTCCGTGTCCATCGGTTTCCGTTCTGGGACGCAATCCTACTGCTTCTTCGAATAAAACATAGAGTGGTTTCTTCTCTTTGTGGCTAATCTCGTCTTGGGTTGTTGCGGGAATGGTTTGGGGGGATGAGGAAGTAAGAGATCGGAAGAAATTTGAAGGACATAGGGACTTATGAGGAATGTAAAGAGGGGTTCGGGTTCCGAGGAGAGATTTGAGGAGAAACATGATCGGATTTAAGGGTTCTTTTTAAATATTTTGAAGGGAAGAGATAAAGGGTATTGGAGGATGATACAAGTTTCAGAAGAGCAGTGAGTTTGGCGAAGAGGAAGCCATTGAAGTCTGGAGAGTGGAGATGCTGGGGTTTTAAGGGTCCAGCAGTGATTGTTTCAGTGGGGTTTTAGGGGCAGTGTAACCAGTCAGTCTATTTATTTAATTAGTGTAATTTTTATTGGCACCCTGAATATAATTATTTTTTAACAAACTTTTAAACTATATCTTTACTAAAATTTTTTTTAAGTCAATTATTATTTTTTATTATAATTGTTACTTTGAAAATTTAATGATATTTTTTTTCTAATAATTTTGCCTGAATAAATTTATATCATTGTATCTGTAAGTTTTTACTACTAAACATTTTATATTATAAAATAAATAATATGATATAAATTTCTGTAAATAGGTAATTTTTATAAGAGAGACATTATTAAACTTTTTCTTTTCTTTTTTTGGCTAAAAAGTAACTTTTTAATTAAATCCTTTTCAAATAATTTTTTTTATTGAGTCCTAAAATCTTTAATTTATGATAAGAGAAGTTTATATTTTTAAAATAAGGAGAAATATAAGGTAAGCGAAATTAAAAGATAGGTATTAAATATAATAAAAAATAATACAATCTACTTATTTATTTTATTAAGTGAAATATGTATCTTATAG